AGCTCTACCACAACCCTCCAGTTAAACCTTCTTAGAAGTAGTTTATTATCTTTGTCTCTCATTTATCAATTTTGCAATCTAAGTACTTTCTTTACTATATTTTGTATACTTGGGCTGTAAGATCTGCTATAGTATATGACTATAGCAGAGAGTACAAGAAGCCTTCACAATGACCCCCGGGATGATGATCTAACATGCTGCTTGAGTCTCTAGATGCTATCATACAAGTGACACTAATATGAATTCTGTCCTTTCCTTTTTAATTTCCTCTTAACTTTATCTTGGTGAAGTGCCCCATCTTAAAGAGCACGGACTCCACAGACATGCTGAGCATCTTCCACAAAAGTTGGGGGCACTCATCACTTCCCAGGAGAAACACAGTACCTTGTACAATCAGACACAGTCTCCACAAGATAAATTGAGATGGTCAAAAGAGATAATGGCTTATCTGTAAGGATTCCATTCATTCATCTACAAGCACACTCACATAGGTATATCTCATATGCCAGACTAAAAGCAGATCAGGCATTGTTTAAGTGGCACCTAAAAATCTGTTGTTAGTACTTGCCTCAAACAATTCTAACATGGTTCGTAATAGCAAATGAAAAATACTTTTGTTTACTTTAACCTCTTCAACAGCTGGTAAAAAAAAAAAAGCCATTTCTGTAGTTCAGCTGAACACTAGACTGCCCAGAGATAAGTAACAGGACAGGCACTAGCACAGGACACACACTAGCACAGGACACCAGCTCAGTCTCAGCGCAGTAGCAGCACACACAACTCTACTCCACACCCTGCAAGTGGGTGGGAAGGCTGCCCACTGTGAGACCTCACTGTTGGCTTTCAGTCCAAAACCAAAGGACAGCAGTGAATTGAGACAAAAGCTTTCCAGTCATACTCTTTACACTTACTTATGTGAAATAAAAGCTCTATGTGCATGTATGTACATAGCTATATTTAGCCATCTTGTAAAACTGAAGTAGGACGCTACCAATTTAAATTCCACCAGAGTTTTTGGCCATATGCACCCTATCTGTTCTCATCTGCATAGCTGCAAAGCTTGGGTAATACCTGACTGTCAGCAGGGTTTACTGTATGTAATACCACTTCCACAATATTGATACCTGACCTAACACAGAATCATGATACCACCCAGTACCACAAAACTACTAAGTATATAGGACAAGGAGCAATTAAGATTTCAAGGGGCCTTGGGTGTAATCAGGGGTCTCTCTTCTATTTCTAACCCTCATCTTTCCAGCTCCTCTGACATTACTGAGGGCCAGAACCCTACAGCTTGCCTTCGCAGCAACTGCAGTTCAAGTTGGTGGTAGAAGAGTTGGAAATTTTCCTTCTTCTTCCATTCCTCTAGAAGAACAGGCTACCCAGCCCAGCCCAGCCCAATCCTCTCCCTCACCCATTCCCAGACTCGCAGACCTCCCATGCATGGGAGCTCTGCTCTGCTCTTGCTCTTTTACTGGGCAGAACAGCCAGCTGAGGACTGAGTGTGGAAGCACGAGCTGCTTCCAGCCCTCCCACTGCTCTGTGCTGAAGTGCCACGCAAATACCACTGCCTAGTTCTGCAGAGAATCAGTTTTGCTCATAGTTGGTTGAACAGAAGTCTAATTTCATGAATATCATGAAAGTATCAACATCTAATAACTTTAGCACTCTGTACCTAGAAAATCACACTATTAGCAACAGATCAATATATTGCCCATGACTGGGGATTTGTTTCAAATCTATACCACCCTTCATAGGAGTCTTGACTGCTGCACTGTAATGACTCGTGTAACAGCTCTTGGCCATTATAAGGACAAAAACTTGGCTGCACTTGAACTGTAGTGCTTGGTTCTGATGATATGAATATACCACTGAAAGAGGAAGACCAGCCCATGTGAAAGTAAATGTCAGGAATACTTAGAGTAATTCCTAAAGGTCTGGTAATAACATTCACTGTATTGTCACTGAAGCAGTTATCATAAGTAAGTTTTGGCAATACTTTATTTCTACCACATATCTATTGGATAGGCTACTGGATGGCTTGGAGGATGCTTAGAAATAATATTAACATGAACATTGCTAGACCCTTGATCAAACAACTTTACTAGGGCAATCCATGCACGTAACTCTGCGTATGGTGGCAGAGGAAAACAGACATCTAAAGACTGCATCAGCAACACCTATTCCAGTGTTCTGATCTTTACAACTTTGGCTGTAACTATTCTTAAAATCAAACACTTCCACCCGAAACCAAATAAAAGCAACAGACCAGGGCAATAAAAGCACCATGTTCTATTAAGAAGCACGCAGCAACTGACCCCAAGAAAAACATTATATTACAAAAAACAGGAGACCATTGGAGCATGATTATTTTCTTCATTAGGTTTTGATATTACCAGATATGAAACTCTCACTCACTGAGTTTTGTCACACACTACCTAAACCTGCAAGGTACTAACACTGCAAAAGTAGGTTGTAACTATAAATACTATATTATTACTAAACGATTTATTATACCCTTGAACTGCTAGCAAGACAGTAGTTTGATTTTACTTACTGACCAGCCGATGACTAGCTATGACTTACCAAAACAAAAATCCTAGGTCTATGTATCTCCTGAATTATGTAGAAGTCTTAAACTTCTGGATACAACTTATCACTACAATGAGCCACGCCAGAAGCCGAGGTGCAGTCCAAGCAAGTATTCACACCCCCGGTGCTGATCCCACCGACTGCTGGATTGGCAACTTTCGGAGCCAAGATCCCCTTCTGTGTTTCTTACAGAGGCAGTCTTATGAGAAGTACTTCTACACAGTTAACAAAATTAAAACATAATAAAACTAAGGTTTAGCCCTGATTTGTAGAATTGCATTGCTCGCCTATGTTATATAACATATAACCGACTCAACAGCCTCCTATATAGAAATCAGCTACTCACATATTAACTCAGCACAAGCACTCTCCAGCTGCTGAGAACAGCTCTAAGCCAAGACTAGGATGTCCAAGCCCTAGGTGGAGTGAAACCATGGAACATTTAGATTAGATTTCTTCCAAATTTATTTCAGGTGTCCTACAGTTGTCATCTCTGTGCTTTTTAAGGGATCTTAAATTGCCACATCTTTGCCCCACACAGTCATCTAATGTTTAACTGGGGAACAAAGAGGTCAGCACAAGGTAGCTTCCTAGGTTCAGCATTAGGTTTTACCATAGCGTCCCCCTCCAAAATGTACAGTATTTCTGCTGTCCATGTTGAAAATAAATTACACTATCTTCTTCTCAAATTGTCAAAAGCTACCTTTAAATGGAGATCCAATGTTTTCCATAGGTTTTATACTTTCAAATCAGAGAAGGGAAAAATCCCATTTTTGGCTAGTGAGTCTATTCTGGATATGCACAGATGGAGTGAAATTATTTTGTGGTGTAACTGATAAGGAAAGTTAATCACTAGAAAGAAATTGGTTGGAAAATAGATTTAAATGGCAGAGCAATATAACTTGCCTAATTTGGCTGCCACTGGCAATGCAACAAAAGTAGCACTCCTGAGATGCAGAAGAGATGTTTATAGCAGGGAAAACAACAGAGACAGACATGCTGAGGTCTCTTTATCTGATAACTTTGTGGTAATTGCCTTTCATGCCCTGTGGCATGTAGGATGCACTAATTTGGCATTCAGTGAGTACAGCAAAGAAGCATAATGCAAACAAAGAAGAGTCAAACTCTGCACTACTGCTTTACCTTACTAAATTACCAAGCCACAGAGTGTTTGCATCATCACAAAGTCTGAGGTAGACATTTCTATGGGCCAACATCATCCTCTTCCTAGAGTCCAGTCTCATTTCCATCAGTGTACCTGACTGATTTCACCAGTTCTTTCTGAGTGACTCTGCTGTGAAGTCTGGTTCTATTTGCTGGCTGAGGTTTCACCCTTGGTTTGAACCCCAAGTGAGTGGTTACAGGCATTTCTTCCTCTTGTCCAGTTGTCTGCTGACATCTCCTATATTGAAGGCAGGGAGCCTTCAAAAACTGTTTCTACCAAAATCAACATGAATTTTGCCTCTGATTTTACTGGGTTTAGAACTTGTCTCTATCGCCCCTTCCTTTCTCTTCACCAACTACTGCATAGAAGCAAAGTCATCAGTATTGCTGAGCATAGCTCAGTTCCCAGGCACCTTCTTCTGTCAAACAGGTTTTTTAAATATTCTTAATTTACATTTTGGGGTTTTCTCCTGTACTTTTTATAGTGCAGTGTCTCGCCTCTTAAAAACCACATACAGCTGTGAGTACATGTGTTCCCTCTTTCTCATAATAGGGGACCCCAAAGACAGCAACCCTTTATTACTAACTGCAGGGAAGGATGCACAGCACTATGCTATACCTGACACAGCTGTAGCTCCTCCACATCTGCTTTACAGTCACTCATTCAGCATCCAGGGGAAGAGTATCAAGGACAACAAGAATGAAAGAAGAATGGACTAATGTACACACACAGGCATGCACACATATACAAATGTGGCATATGCTCACTAATTTTTATTATTTGCTGTTTATAATCTGGTCACACCCCTGGTCCCCAGCCCCATTATGAAAAATCTTATCAGTATACTGTTCCACGCACACAGCGGTCTTTTTCACAAAGATTAGGCAGCAGATGCCAGAGTGAGATTCTGTATTAATAACACACTGAGGAAATAATTAGTAATACATTGATCCTTTACATCCTTATGAATTTGCTAACAGAGGCCAGGATTCACCCTTACGGAAGGTAAATTCATCTCCCATTGCATTCAATACAAGCTGTACACATTTCTGTAAGGGATGAGTTGCGTGCAGAGGGTTTGGTGGTTATTGTTACAGCAAATCAAGTAAGATGCAACAGATGCAAAGAGAAATGGTTGGAGAGGGGCAAAGATAAAGTCCAAGGACTAAATGGCAGGTTTGCATGTATGCCAGCTGCTCTGCAGCACAGGAGAGAGAGAGGGGGGCAAACAAATACTTACCAGGTTTAATTTCCAGCAGCTTCAGTCTGGAATCCTCAGGGGGATGCAAACGCCTCTTTTTGCGCCAGCAACGTGCTGGGTACGTGTACAGCTGACCTGGGGCCAGGCCTGAAGATTAAAGGCAAAAAATAAATATAATCACATTTCAGTTTGTAAACCACAAGCACTGTCTCTAGCATCTTTGTTCTTGCCCTTCCAGTGTCTCCTTGTTGGAGGGTTCAATCCTGCAAATCATGAGGCAGAACTATGCACTCAAGGCATCCAGTGCTCCTGAGGCTCCTCAGCACCTCTTGGGATCAGGCCTACAGAGAATCTAGGTCTCACTTAGACACATCACTCAGCTCTACTGAAACCAGAGCTGTACATAAATAATTTGTGATTTCTTCAGGGTAAATAGAATTTCAAACTCTCCTGGGTCACAGGGGCGATGCCTCCTCCACAGGCAGAGAAAGCCCCTTGGGAGAGAAGAGATGAAGTTCCGATATGCAAATCATAAGGCCCTGATGCATAAAGCAGCTCAGGAAATTTGTGTCTTCCAAGTGGGAGCAAACCAAGATCCATGAGGTCTGGCTATTTGGACTCTGTATTTTTGCTTAAATTCTGGACTTTTGTTTGAAGACAGATTCTTCATTCTGGTTATTTCCTCCTCATGCCAACATCCTGAATGGGGGAGGAGACACAGAAGTAATGTTTATATTACTGCATGCTCCATTGAATCACATTTGGCATTGCTGGCTTCTGAGCTGCCCTGGCTCTCCTGACAGACACTCCTTAGCCAACGTTCAAGCTATGCTTTGCTCTCTTGTATTCAGAACACAGCAGGGCTTCGTGAATGCATCGCTACTAGGGGCACAGAAGCACACTGGCAAGTGCTTCAAAGCATCCTCAACTGCCCCAGATACTCATGACACACAGAAATACCCAGCAAGACACAGAAAAGTTGGAAGAATTTCATTCTGTCCCCTGCTTCCCCTGCCCTCTTTGTCCACCAGTTCTGCTTTGGCTTTTCTGCCCTGCTGCTGCTGCTGTTAGTCTTCAAGGGGCTACGGAGCATGACCGCAATCCCAGACTCGTTGCCCTTAGAATACAGGTAAGACCATGTAAGAGAGAGGACAGGCATGGTGTTACCATATCTGAAACTGCACCAACAGTGAACAGCTGGACAACACAAAGGGGGTGCCAGTAAAGCAGAACAGCTCAAAGGCCCAAGAGTTCTCTCACCCCTTCTGAAGTAGCCAGTAGAGTGTACCAGCCTGGGAACAAAACTGACTCACCGAACCAAATGAGGATAATTAAAAAAACCAATATCCTGTTACTTGTGGGGCAGGGGGGAAGACACAACAAAATTATTCGCCTCAAGGGAATGGGCTAATCAAATTCTGCAAGTGAAGCCTAAGCTCCTGGTTTGAAATGTTTAAACTGTTGGGAATGCCAGTTCAGACCCCAGTACTTTCCACCTACTTCCCAGGCATTGGTGCATAAATGGAGGATCTACAGCACGCTGCCTGGGTATGGCCGAGCGATGGAGTATATGCAGAGATCCTGGCTGTTCCAGGGCACAGAATGCTCCTGAACTGGGGCTTTTCACACCCTTCTTTCATTGCTGCACTGCTTGCTGGGCATTATGCCCACCCCAGGAAGGACACATTTCAGAGCAAGGCGCTTAGGAGTGGTTTGTGAATAAAAATGTGAATAACTAGCACTTCTACGATGTTTGGACACACTTCTTCATGCCACTTTGCAAACATTAACCACTGCAAACAATTGCTATTATGATGAGGTGGATTGTGCCTGGCTCTGATGTGAGTCATTAAAGAGGTGGAGGCAAGAAGCCTCACCCTTTCACAGCAGGTCCTGTGCAAGAACTTGCTCACAACATTGAAATGGCGGTTGCGAGACCAGAGCAACAGGACAGAATCAGCCCTCCATTGCACAGGCCTCCACAGAGGAGTCATTTGAATGAAATAAGCAGCACAGCTTTGAGCATTTGTCCCAGACAGAGAGGAGCAAGGATCTACTGCAGTTTTGGGGGAGTATCTGTTAATGTGGGTTCAATTATTGAGTGCTATTATATAAAAATAGCAGTTCTGGATTCAGCCAGGACAGTGAAAGCCAACCACAAATGCTGAAAGCCCAACAAGAAACAAAGCAGGTATCCTTGAAAAGACAGAGGTGGGAAAGCCTCTTCCCTAGAGGACCTACAGCCCACTCCAGCTGGCAGATAGATCAATAACAGATGGATGATCCAACATCCATCTCTGCACCCCTTGAGGTAAGCTCTCTGTTCCTATTCACAATACCCTTGCTCATTAATACACAGCCATCCAATGAACTTAAAACATACACCAGACCTTCACTTGATCCAAACCCATCAAATGCTACCTTCAGTTCTCCACCCTGACCCCATCTGTCACTGTGCTGGCTCACATGAAGTGTGGATCTTTGATTGTTAACACAAAGGAGGGACAACAAGGAAAGAGTCGGTTCTGAATGCTATGAATCTAGCCCCTCCACAGTCAATCTTGCAGTGCATATGGAAACAATGCATATACAGGTCTTACTGTCTTCAGTCCTGGCTCAATTGTCTCTCCCTCCAGTGCCTTATAGGGCAACCAGAGAAGGTTCCAACCATTTGCTTATAGAGGAAATAGCAGAACCTGCAATGAGTTATGTTGTTTATCTCATTAGTGTAGGAGAGTCATAACTCAAAGCTTGTGTGAAAGGCTGGGGGAGGAGGAGAAAAGGAGGGAGTTATGTGCAGTATTGTGTGAAATTAACCCTGAACTGTTTATCATGAGATGCAGTTTTCTGACTCCTTTAACAAAGAGGACAGTAAGAAACCAGGTTAATATGCTGAGATCCTGACTCTCCTCTCTGTTTTTCAAGCCCTCTGTAAGTGAAAAGAGGTCCTGGAGCTTTGCCATTTGTCTTCATACCGTTTTTCAGGTTAGGGATACTAAATGGCAGTGAACACAGCACACGTGACAGATACCAGCGTGGTTGGCAGAAAATTTTCAGAGCCCTTCAGTATGGGCATAAGCGCATTGTGTACAGCCTGAAAACATGCATGCTAAAACTGTAGGGGGATGCTTTGACCCACCATAATACTACAAGAAATAGATGATGCAAAGACACCCAAGGGAGCACTAAATGGGCTAATAAAAATCAAGAAAGAGGAGAGCAAATATGGGGGAGGAGGGCTGCTTCATTTCACACTGATTATTCTAATTCAAAATAACAAAAGCATCAGATTTGGTGGCCAATGCAGATGCAGTAGGCTTGTTTCACTTAAGATTCTCTGTGAAGATTGTTCTACCATTAGTCTCCACAGCAGACCTGCAGAAGAAATGCCACTGATCTCCTTTTGCAGGGTAAGCTGCCAAACAGTTCCCTATGAGAACTGAGGAAAAAAAGATTTGCACGGTGAATTTGCTCAAGGTAGTCCAGAGAGCTTGTGGCTGAGAAAGGCAAAGAATTAAGATCTCTTGGTTCCTGGTGTGATGCCGTTAAGATGATTTCTTCTGTGTGGAGACACCAGTGAAACCCATATAAGACTATATATGTCTATCTTTGTAGCAGATGCTCTTGCCAAAACATTACTTGTGGATATAGTGGATATATATACCTGCTTATTACTGCATTTAAAAGGATAAAAATAGCAGCACCTTACTCATAACCAGATGCTATAAGAACAGAAATTCCTTAGGTAAACGGATTAGCAAAAAAAAATGAAAGCTAGTTTTGCCAAAGCATAATCTCTTAGGAATGGGGAATTTTCAGCTGAAACAAAAAACCAACTGTGGTCATGAAGCAACCTACAAAAGAAGGGTTAGCCCAGAACCTCAGACAACTCCCAGCTTGTAAACCACATTCAGCGGTCCCGGATTACCCCAGTAGTTTTGGCAGCTGAAACATTCTCAGGGTATTTTTAATGCTGGTAAAACACCTGTTGCATCCTGCACCAGTAGTGGCTGCATTTTACTATAGAAAGTTTTCTGACAGTACTGCAAGACAATACTAAATCTACTTTGGATATTTTAGGAATAGGAGCAGTGCAAGGATCCTTCCCTCAGTATATCCTAGGAAAGGGACAGGGAAAGTTTCAGCTAAGCGCTCTTCAGAAGCAGCAGTTGCTTTCTTAGCCCCAGGAGGGGGGGGAATATCCTATGCATTCCTCCCAGTCCACCTCCTGCAAACAGGCCAGTGGAGGAGGTAAGAGCAGGCTGCACCGTCCCATAATTCTAGATATGGAGATTGGGGGGGGGGGTTCAGTATGGTTTACAGGAACTGGCATGTGTATATGCACTTGTGTGCACATCTTGCTTCCGGTGCCCATTCACCCTAGCCCCCTCCCTGCCTGGATTCTCTGGTTTGCGCTGAAAAAAAATCCCCCCAAAAAGAAACCCAGTTTGGTGCCATCAAAAAAATCTGTTCCCCAGAGCTAATGGTGGGTCAGACACTGAGCCATACTCTAACAAAATTGCCCCTGGGGTTCGGGAGGACTTCTGTCTGCGTAACAGCTCCAGTCTTTGAACTGGTGACTGTCCTTTGCCTTTCAAACAAGGATTTCAGATGGATTTGCTCTAACAAAGGAAAGACTGACCAAAGTCTACAAAAATAACAGTGCTTTTTTCCCTTGAGCTTCACTGAGCTTTGGAACAGGCATTAACCAAAGCTCTTTGAGGACATATTCCAATTTCTTTCTGCACCTGAGGAAACTGCGGCTCCAGAACTGATATCCAAGTAACTTGTCCAAAGCAGAACTAGGAGTTATAGGTATATTTCTAACCATCAGAACAACGTTCATTCCAATAACTGGACTTTCCTATATTTTACCTTGGCTTTATATCCTTCCCAATATAATGCCTTATTTTCAGCATTCATCTGAGAAACTCCCACCTCTACCTCTCCACCCTGAAGATAACTCCAGTCCTGCTTAGAGCAGAACATTGTGTCTTCTACTGCAGACTGAGATCAATAGCATTAAAAGAGCTACAATGATGTGGCCTTAGAAACTACCATGTCAGGCACTTCTCTGGGTAGAGAGAGAATAATTAGGATGAGCTCTCTGCAGTTACCAAAGGAAATCCCCTGCAGGCACAGAGGTTTAGGCAGCTTCTCTTCTATGTGGCCTGTAGCAGGTTTGAGCTCCTATTAATTAAACCCCATGAGGGCTCAGTGGCCAGCCCTCCATACATGCACATGCATACACAGACACAACGCTACCAACCTGGTCCCCTGTGCCTTTTCTCCATCCAGATGTAGCAGTTGTTCTGAGCTACCCCAGTTTGTGAATCCAGGAAGGGAAGGCGGACGCTCCGCTCAGCACACAGCCGAGAGTTGTAGCTGCGACAGTGTTCAATTGCTTCTTTGTAGAACTGGTCCCCGAGTCTGCCAAAAGAGACAGGGCAGAGAGTAAGAAAGATTGCACTGCCCCCTCAAACAATGGACAAGCAGAAAAACTTTCCCTGAACACATGCAAAGCTTACTGACACGAGACACTGCTGAAGCAGATCATGCAGAAAGTGCCACCAAAAAATCAGACTCTCAGGAACTGGACACAGATCTTTTCAGTAGTGGCATAGCTACTGAATGAGCAAATGATGCAACCAAACCGGCCCATGACCCTGGGTCAGGCAACATATACACCATGGTGAACTCATTCTTTTGTTTCTCTTCCCCTGTAGTATGTCCAGCCAATTCAGCAAACTAGTCATTTCAATCCTATGTTGCAGCAACTCTTGCAGTATGTTTTGAGCAACCAGCAAGCCAGCCAGGTTTAGAAGAATTTCCCTCCAGTATTTCTGGTGTCAGAGAGCCCATAAGAGCAAAGGACATAGTCCTCATTTTGTGTGCTTCTGAGGCATGAAAACACACCCCTTAACAACTAGGGCCATGTCTGCAATGGTCAGACTAGACATTTTGTCATAACTCTTCCAGAGTTTTCCACAGTCAAACCTGAGGCACCAACAGCAGCAGGCTACAACAGTGACCAGTAAGAGCTAGCATGGCAAATGCTGCTTTCCTCTGGAGCCCAGTGTGAGGAACAGTTCTAAAGACAATGTCACTTATTTCATAAATAACTATTTGTTCAAAAATTCTGCAGAATCTTCATGTTCCCTTGAGAAAGGTTTTAAAACTCTGCCTGCTGGAGATTACCAAAATCCTCCCTCCAAATTTTTCTAAACAGGGAAAAGCATCAAAGTAAAGCTACCCTGAGGACACAAAGCAGCTGTCATGCTGGAGCATTGCAAAGTAGGTGGGCCACGCTGCTGAACCTCATTCTTGATCTATTGTCAAGGTGAAATTCAGTCGTGACATGAATAGCTAGAACAGCTACCCATTAGGGGTAAGTTCATTAGAAAATAGGAGTAGAGTGATATATAGCATAACTTGCTCTGACTCTGATATTCATTAGTGTGCAAAAAGAGTATAGCATGCACAGCAAGGGAGCTGAAGGGATGCATGCACAGAGATAAAAAAGGCTCCCTTTCCTGTTCTATTAGTTGTTTTCCCCACTACCCTCTTCCATAGGCACAACTGGCATTTTAATAGTATACTCCTTTTCCACACCTCTGAATGTCAAATTGGTGCAAATTGCTCTGTTTTGCCATCTGTGTCTTTTTTCTGATTCACGTCTTTTAAGTCACTCCTTGGTTGCACCTTATGACTTCCATGTGAGCCATTCTCTTTTTTCCCCTGGGCTGTACTGGCCCAATATCCTCTCACTGACAGGGCCCAACAGCAAAGGCTCCAGGAAGAACACAAGAGCAGGGTAAATACAGAGGGAGGCACCCCTAGTTTCCCCTTCTCACTTCTGATGATGAGAACTTAACTTCCCCAAGTCTCAGGTTACCCAATGGTGGGGGTATTATGTTTAATAGACCTCGATGAATCTTTCTTCCATGAATTTATCCAACCAACTCTTCAACCCACTTATCTTTTTCATACCTAAAATGTTGTGGGGTGATGAGTTCCACAGCTGAAATATGATTCATGTGAAAAAAGCATTTCCTTATTCTTGTTTTAAGCCATATCTCAAGTATTTACAATTACAAGCCCCTAAGTCTCTCACAAAGCTTCCATCAGGTCATTTTTCTAACGAGCAGAGAGTATTCAGCACACTGAGCCCCTGGATGTGGAATGAGCACCGTGGCTGGATGCTGGAGCCCACCAGCTTCCTGCTGCCCTCTGCCACTCTGACTTCACCCACCGCATTTCAGAGTGTCTCCAAGGGAGGGAAGGAGGCAGTCCTCCACAAGCAGGAATTGCGCACAGGAGTCAGTACATCCTTTGGCTACAGAGACTTTCTAAGGGTTGTTCAGCGGCATCATGCAGCAGTGAATGTCTGTATCAATGTGGTGCGTCACAGCCCTGTCCCGCCACTGCTGACCACCACCCCCTGGGCAGCAGCCAGCGCGGGGACCTTAGCAGGGTAGCTGAAGGAGAGCTCTCTGGACTGTACCAGCGAGCGGAGGGCAGAGCCGTGGGCAGAACGTGTACGGCGGGATCCCTCTGGACACTGAATCCCCTGCAGTGACCTCAAACCCCTTTTTCCATAAAAATTGGGGGGGGGGGGGGGGGGGGGAGGAGAAAGGAAAAGATAAGCTGCACTACTATACAAAGAATGTGACTAGGAAGAAATGAAAGCTTATTAAAAGCTGTAATTAAAGTTGTACACTTGTGTAATCAAAGTCAGTAACAAGGAGGCTCCAGTTGATCAAAGATTAAAAGCTCTTTCCACAAACACTTGAGCTTTCACAGAGCTATGTCAGATTCCCCCTGTATTAAGCCAGCGACACTCACTAACTGCAAGGAGTTTACTGGAAGGAAGAGCACAGCCGTGTGACAACAAACTGCCACCCCTGTATAGGTTTTCTTTATGCTAAAAATTACTCCAGTCATTAGAATATGCACGCCACAAAGCATCCGTATTAACAAAAACAATACGTCTCAGCAACCCAGATACAGGATCTGGCTGGAGATGACCTCAGTTTCCGCCTTCTTCTATAAGTGAAAATAACTATAATTCTTAGAAAGTTAAATATTTGGCTTTAAATGACACTGTCAAGTAGGGTGTAAGATTAAATTTCAGATTTTTCTAACAGGGAGAAAAGGGGTTTTGAGATCCTAATGGCAGAGAAGCTACCAAGTTAATGGGTCAAATTCACTCCTGACACAATCTTGTAGTCTAGCTGTTTCATTACATTAAAGATTTTAAATATGCATCTTTTGCCTTAAAGAAAAATAATAATTTAGAAGAAGCATTTAGTCATGTCCATACTTTAAGAAAGCTTGCCTTGGCTCCACTACAGCAAGCATGATCAAATACCCCAGCCCCTAAGTATTCACTGGAAAGGTATTCAGATACTGGGACCTTGAGCACTTGCCCTGACTTTAATTATAAATGGAATCTTTAAAAAGTGACAAATAATCAAATACAGGAAAGTAAAGAAACAATATTTCCTTATGACAGTCATATCTCAGTGGAAAACAGCTTCCCTGCAATTACTTTTGGGTGGTTGGTTGTTTTGTTTTACCATTAGTCTTCACTGGAGTGACTCTGACTTGTTCCAAATTTCAGTTATTTTTTTTAAGGAACTTTAAACTTAGAGATATTTTTTTTTCTTTGTCTTCAGTGCTACATATCTAAACACAGCATGTTTTGTCTTATGCAGGAAAATCAGAAAGTATTATTAGAATCAGGGCAAAAAAGGGAAAGTATTGTCTTATTGTGCTCATCACTGTGGAGTCATGGAGGTGGGACAAATCCCAGCCCCCTCCCAAGAGGTTTACAATGGAGCTGGAGAACAGATAAGGGCGGGAATAAGACTGGAGAGCACATGAGCTCAGATGAAACTCAAGCAGATCGGCTGAGTTTGAGCAAGCAAGATACATGAAGAGAAAAAAATAAACGGACAACATTAATAGTAAGAAGTGGATCATATGTCAGAAAGATTAATTATTTGATGTTACATGCTTCATAGTTTTCCCAAGCTGTGTTGCTATGGAAGACTTACACTTCATCCCCTGAAAAAATATCTGTAAAAACTATGGGGAATTTCTGCATTATTTTTATGAAAAGTATGTATGAGTCAGTGCTGTGCTGTGACTGACTGCAAGGGTCGATTCTTCCCTTTGGACACAGGAGTGAAAGGTCACAGAGACTTGTCTAGATTGATATTAATGACACAAAATCATCAGCATATGCATAGATTTCAAAGATACTGGGGGAAAAAAATCAAGGACCACACATGAACAACTGCTGGCCAAGGAAGGCAAATCATACTGAAAGCAGCACAACTGGAAATAGAGAATAAAGTTGTCAGCACACTGCAAAAAACACACAGCCCCTCAGCGCAGGGCCACAGGTGAAATCCCAGATGCCTGGGACAGGCCGGCCGGTGACACTGCTGGCACGCACGCAGGCTTTGCATTTACATTCCAGCCTGGGGACACCAAAATAACCCGGTTCTGGCTGACTAATAAAAGCTCCCTGGCTTGGAAAAGAACAACCTATGCTATTATAATCTTCTGCAAGGCTGCATAGGAGGGGTATATGTCTAGTAGAAGTTAGGGGCTCTTTTTTGGTGAAAAAGGGCGGGACTGAAACTAAACAGCAGGTTCAGAGCAGCCTGAACAGGGAGGTGAGCGCTCTGAAAGCACCACCAGCCCCGTGGGTCCTGGGACAGCGATGGGAGGCTGGTGCAACTTTATGCAGCCTTGCAGGTAGTCACTGGCATGAGAGTATGCACCAGGATAGAGGAACAGACCCTGTGACTTTCATGAGGTCACTGTTCTTTTAAGTATGAAGAAACTGAAGTTTTCCATCATGGAATCAGGTCAGCTAATAACAAAGTCGGCGAAGAACAACACTTCCCTTCTCTCAACCTTTGCCTGCCTGCTCTAACTAGACCATAAGATTTCTGAGCAGACTCCGACTTACTACTTTTCTGTACAGTACCTAGTGCCATGACTCCTCTGTCTAGGCATGCCTTAAATGAAAAAAAAACAACAAGAACTGGCCTGGCTTATAAGCCCGTAAGTTAGCAACAAGGACCAAGAGCATGGCTTCACTCCAGCCGCTTCAGGACATTTGTTTCTCTGCTGACGAGGGATCCTGATGGGCCCTGAAAGCAGCAGAGCAGCTCTCCACCACTACTTTCCAGCCCATCCAGCAAAGTCCCAGCTATTCGACTGCACTACACCTTTTACAAAAGCCACACAACGGGCAGAATCTAGCACACCCCTCCTGCAGTCCCTACCACATTTCAGATTAGGATCCAGAGGAGAAAAGCACTCACTGAAGACATATAACCAGCCAAGCTCCACCATGATTACAGGTCCACATCACCCCTGGAAAACTTAGATAACAGAGAACCAGTCCTCCT